AATAGTTTCCCTACAATCATCGAAGGTCTTTCGAATCTTTGACGCAGTATACTCATAGCCTCAGAGTATCTTTCGTTAATGGGCATGAACTTACAGCACTGTATAGCTCTTGAAGCAACTCCAGTGCACTACCTCATCAAATATGTACAAAAATATGAAATACATTAACTTCATTTCATCATTCAATGAAAAACCACTCAACATGATCTCAAACTCCTTTACAAACTGTAAATAATCAGCTGGGTTTCCGTCGAAACACCGTGGTTCAAATTTAGGGAGTTTGATATTTCTATTATCCCTAGACAGCGAAACAGTAACATCAACCATGTTATGCTTAACATCAGACACATCGTTACAATTAACAGACAAGTCACCATGGCTTACTTTCCTGTTTGCATCCAAGACGCTCTGTACCTTTTTTGACCCAGGCATTGTCGAACTTGACCCAATTCCAAAAATGTTCCAGATATTGCTTGTTCAACGAAGACTTGGCCGGCACCAGGAAAGATGAACGGTGACTATCCAAACTGTCACTAACTGTTTGAATCCGCCAGATCTGTTTCTGTCGTCAGAAACTGTCAGTCTCGTCTCATAAACCGTTAATGCCCAGCTCTCGCTACGCTCGGGCCCCCGCTGTTCTTCGAAGATTTCTCAGAAACGCTTAGTTATAACGGACGCAAAAACCAAAACACCGATCTGCTGCTTGTTATTTCTTTATTGTTACACCAACATATAAAAGGAATAAACGAAGTAAGGAACTAAGGTCTGTAAACAAATATTACAATAATAAATCGTTATGTTACTTCTGACGATGTTTCACTCTTCTTTCTGAACAGCGACCGATGAGACGATGACTGTCGTATTGATGCCTCCGCGAAAATCGAGGAAGTTGATTTTGAGCAAACAACCAAGAATTGATCGTTCAATCTTCAACTACATTGACACTCCCCGGCAAAAAAAGGGATCCAACCCAATAAGTCCCTAGAAGCAATTCTTAAAACATTTTATCACAAAATTAAATATATTGGCGGTAACGCTGCAACTGGCTCATGTGAGATGATACCAATTCACTATATACAACATGAACATATGTACAAAATCACACACCAAGCACGTTGGGCTGCTCATTGATGCGCTACCCTTTGAAGAATTGTAGGACTCACAGCATTACTCCTATAAACTTTCTCAGGTTGACGCCCTAGGTTGGAAAATCGTCGCAGAGTTCATTTGTTGATTTCCTTCTACCATCTATATCTTTAACTCTGAACGGTGACACGCCCATATCATTGTGTCGTAGAATATAGATGACTTACAAACATACGACCTATCTGACCAACCAGGCTTAGGCACAGATTAATTCGCACCAAAGTTAATAACATTCGGATAATTACTTGAAACTTGAAAGACCTTTGTTCGTGCATCTCAGTTTAACACAAAAGGTATAAAATGAAAACTGCCGGCATGAGGATAATTGTATTAAAACCAATAGTGGACATCATGACAGTAAGACTTATATGGGTATCATTATGCATTGCAAATGAACGTTTTCAGCCTAAGGTGTTTCTTTTATCAATGCGTTTATTATTGATACTTGCACTTACCCATTTCATTACACTTTATTGATTCACCTTAGCACTTTTAGTTTTCTAAAACAGCTTTCAATCCCTTGTAAACGTTGTGCTTACCTCAATATTGGTTGGTTATCGTATGCCGACAACCACGGGATGAAAACGAAACGAAGTCGATTTTCTCGCGCAACCTGGAGGACAACTGTACAATTGAGAAACTATACGGCCTGGTTCAGACAATGAGTGTATATATATATGTATATCAAATATTTAGCTGTTGAAACACTATTAACTTGTAGACAATCTACGATTTGATATTATATCATACTTGATCGTGCCTGTAAAAATGGCATGCATTTTCACGTAAATTTATATGTTTTTATGGAAATATACATTATTATTACATTACTATTATTGACAATTACACTTTCATACACATTTGGCTTATCCTCACTAAACTGACCATTGATTTTCGTGCTTTCAAACAAACTGATACTTGCGTAGTCACAGCACAAGACACAGGAGTTCATGGATGCCCCTTTCATTTTGGATGACAACACCAACGACGACTGTCTGATACCAGTTGATGAGCTTCGCGGCACATCAGGAGCTATTGTTGTTCGACCTTTAGAAGCTTGTCTAACTGCAGGATTACCACCACTACTATCTTTTGTGGTAAGCTTCAGTTAAGCAATAACATCTGTTGATAGGTGGACTACACGCGGATCATTTACACTGACGATCTCAGTAGTACCCATACCTTCTGCAACCGCATCCGCCTTTAATTCTACTTCACGTTCAAGTTGTACAGAACCTTTCTTCAACTCAGTAGTAGTAGGCATTCCGCTCGTCTCATCATGATCAGCCATAAACAAATGTGCACTATCATGATCATTATCAGAAATATTTACTTTACTGCCGTTTGTATGATCGACTTCGTCATTTCCAAACTCTTTAATAACAGCAGTAGATGATTTGGGTTCTTCCTCATGAATCCTTAGTGGTTTTATACCTTTATTCTGACTAGTGATACCTTGTAAACTTGTGGAATCCGAACTGGACTCTGCAGCCGTAACCCTTTTCTTCTGTACAAACTGCGGTGCCGTCTGTAACACGCCATTCAATGATGGCTCATAGATAGGTGCATTATAAGACTTCTTCCAGCAGGTAGGGTATGTTCCATCACTTAGTGAAATTGATTGTAGCTTGAGTAGGAGTGAATTCATGTCATTACCACCGTTTTGCAGCAGAATGTGAGATAAACCGTCTGGACCAATAGTGTTACTAAGCTTAAGATTAGCGGCAGCTTTATTCATCTCGTGTGTGGTGAAAAGTATGTCACTTAAACATTAGTCTGTTTTACGTGGAAAATCCACGCCCTGCTCGTTCTCCAAGGTGTATAGTCCAGTAAACTGCTCACTAAATAGTTCACTTATCACCTCGGTATTTTCGTAAGCATATCATTTTGGGATAGGCTGTTTTGTCGTTTGTTGACCTACTTTTGAAAATCTTCGCTATTTCTCCTAGGTTGTGCGCTGGCTGAATCGCCCTTATTTCTTTGTTTCTGCGTCTTATATTTTCGAACTCTTGAATTCTTGTGAGAAGGGACGTTATAGCAATTAATGATGATAAGTCATGATATCCGTAGTATTTTATTGAGTGCTTTCGTAGACTTCTCCTCAACGATGCCTGAATATAATCTCTTTGGGGAATTGGAGGATAAAACTGAAATAAGCTCTCTGATAGATCGCATTTAATTATTATCTAATTTAGCTTTCAGTATCGTTACTTACAAGAGTTCAGCCTCTCTCTTGATCGACCTCTACTAGAAATAACTTTCATGATTGTTGTTTGTCCATCTGTCCTATTTGACCTGAGCTCCAATCACACTGGCTGCCGGCTCCTGAGCCTGGCCTGTGTGACCAGTCTGTTCTTAACAACACCTCAGCTAGAGAAGGGAGAACATAACTCACGGCCTTTTTAATGTATATTTACTAGCGGTGATAAAAATTGAGTATGCAGATATTCAACCACACTAAAACGCTGCTGCTTAGCTCTTATCCCTTTCAAATGACCGTGAACTCCACGCCATTCAGTCCCCACGGATAAATAACTTGAAATATTTGATGCCCAACTGATTTGGTGAAGGTCTTTGGTACTCTAGAAGGAAATAATCTTGCTGAGGTTGTTAACAATCATGAATAGTACGATTCATACTAACGCAAGATCTAATGCCCACAACTTCTATAGTATTCGTTCCATGTAGGCCACAGGCACAGCAAAGCACCAGAACTGATCACCCAAATTACGAATTATATTTAGAGACCGAATCGGAGCGCGAGATGATTGCTTGCCTAGCCAGGGATTGTGAAAGGACAAACGTAACATGATGGCGTGCCAAATGGCGTGGATGCTTGACTTAATAAATCTACATAAACAGTGAAGTTCAGCATTCAGTGTTCGGTGATGGATGCTGTAGCTAGTGAAGTTGGAGAATTACGTACTGCTACAAACCCTTGACTTAAATTCAGTGCTGAATATATACATCGAAGAAAATTAGAAAGAATACTTAAGTGAAGATTCTCTGCTCATAGTGGATAGATTTCACTTGACTTAAAATTTACGACTTGAAATCTTGTTAAAAGTTGTCACAACCCAACAAATTATCCTAAATTCACGTGAGACATACATTAGACGATCGATTCCTATCGATTGTATTTTGAAAACATGATGAATCTGCCCAATATGTGGTAGGTTCACCTCCGAAGTGAAAATGATTTCTAGGGAACAAATACGACTTCAAGAGTGGGAAAATAACTCTAATCGTGAAGATTCATCTAATTCTGATGACAAGCCATGTAAATTTAAATACAGCCTATGTGGCACTTGCTGCACAATCTATGGTTGTAATACACTTTGCTTCGTATGTCTCTTGCCAACGTGTGCGATCGAGGAAATATTCAAGGATATTACCGGAATGAGACGCCCTTTTAGTTATGTGTGCGCTTACCTTGCGAATATTCTCAGTTTCTTCTGCTGGTGTCCTATAATTGGATGTTTTAGGAGATCTTTTAGACGTAGACGTGGTATAAAAGGAATCTTATGCTGGGATTGCTGTGTTTCACTGTTCCTGCCATGTTGTGCGCTCACCCAAATGTTGGAGGAAATTAGAGACAGCGATTTAGAACGTAAAAGAAATCAAAATACAGACGATGCCGGTGATGATGATGAAAATAGTGATAGTAGTGATTAACACGTTTGCAGAAGTGTTGGATTTAAATTTCCAAATGCATTGCGACGCTCTTTTCGCTGAAACTCCTTACCGAAGGATTCACAATTTAGTGAATATTAATTGTTACTCCTAACTCTACTTTTTCGTCCTTTCCTGGGGGTCGTTTTGAAGTAACGTGCTGACGCGGCTTAACCGAAAATATGGTTAGAAGCAGATACAAGAATGGGATTAATCATGGGAAGCATTCTCTTAATCCAGGTACTATGCAAACAATGTCTAATTGTGCGTAGATAGAGAGAAACAGCCTAAAGGGAGTACAATGCGTACAAAAGCTACCATCAAGCGTCTCAACATGTATCGTAATTTCAAGGCCAAAAGGTTTGTTGGGTTTTAGCTCTACAGCGTTGGTACAGAGACAAAAATGGGAAAATAATAAGACCAGCTCCGTTCCAGTCAACGTTACCGTCTGGCACAGTGGCTCGAGTGGAGCCTAACAGACGATGGTTTGGTACGATATTTCTTGTGTTATAAACCTATTTAGGTAATACTCGTGTTATAAGTCAAGATACGTTGCAAAGTTTCAAGGAGGCTATGAAGATTAGGAACCCTTATGAGGTTATTTTACGTCAAACTCGTTTGCCTATATCTCTTCTAGATGAGAAAAAGACGGTAGGGATCGAATATAAATAATTGAGTTTTTCAGAAATCCAAAAGTGCTCTTTTAGCATCAGAAAGTTACTCCTATGTGTTTGGCAGTAAAGCTCAACGTAAAAGACCCTCATTGAAATGCGATGACCTCACGGTAACTTATTTATAGTTTCTTTTTTTTCTTGGAATTTTGCTGATTGTGAAGTAACATCAGTGTTTTTCACTGCCAGTGATATTACATATCAGCATTTATTAGTAAACGACACACCGATATGGGAATCCGTTGTTGATTTCTCATTAATAGGTCGAAAACAGCTACCAAGCTAGGTGGGTGGTTACGTCATTGTCAAATTCCCTAGGTTGGTCTACTTAGTTATCCGTCGCATTGTTTCGGGTGACTGTTGCACATGCACTATAAATAGCCAGAATTATAAGTGAAACCTGCGAAATCATTTTCTACGCTATGTGAATCACTGAGCAAATAAAGACTATGTTTTTGCTTAGAGTAAATTAGTAACACACGTCATATTCCAGTGAATTGACTTCATTTTCTCTGTCCCAATTCTCCAGTTTTTCGCCTGCAGTAATGCCCACAAATACATGAAATTCCGTGATCATCAGTCTCTTTCACTCTTATGTTTGCTTTCTTATGCGGTCAGACACATACTGGTTAAATGTTTTGTTAGTATTTTTCTGTAACTGTCTGCTAAAAGATTAAAATTAAATTCAATTGAGTTTAGTGTGCAAGGTGTTATCTGTTAATTAGTCTCTAAAAACGAAGTGAATGGTTTCTAAGAAATCCTTATTGACTGAGAAACATTTTCAACTACTTTGAGTACTTTCGAAGAAGTTCGGTTCATTGAAAATAAAGTTGTGCACTCCCGTGAGCGTAGAGTTGATGTCTTTCTCCAGATAATGTCTTTAGCGCGACATTGAAGATTTGTAGCTTAGGTGGACGTTTTGTTGGTGTTCCCACCAACCAACAGAATAGCAACAGCAAGTTTTACAATTAAAAACATTACTTCATGAGTTTCCCACACGTCAAGTGTGCTGTTATTCTCAATAATTGGTGGTATTTCACCTTTTCTTATCCAAGAATCTCAAATTCTATTTTCGGCATTCGTAGTGATTCACCAATCGATTCAGAAGTTGTAACAATCAGCTTTCCTAGTTAAGAGCCTCCATAAACAAAAGTTACATTACAGACATATTACATTGAATCACTATCATTTCCAGACACCACTGTTTTTAAGTTGAGAAATAAAGATGTATATTTTCTAAAAATAAGCACTGACCAATATTGTGTCATGGTGAAACCTGGCTAATACATCTGAAAGACAAGAAAAGAATGTGGAGTAGTTTATATTTATACTTGTATTAAGAATCACCTGTACTCCTTCGGTGAAGTTTCATCCACAATTAGTACTCCTTGGTTTTCAGTGATTTCTTAGTATCACTTTACTAGTCTCGTCGCCATTTGAATTAGGAAAATTGGATGGTTGATTGAACCTTAACTGCAGGTTGGATTGTTGGGCACAAACACTCATTCTGCTATCTATATACATTACTTTATTTCATCACATGCACCATCTCGTGACTGTTTAGAGCATTGAGCAAGTACACTGTGTCCTTTCAGGATTCAGGCTGTTGAGGATTGTTACGTCAAATAATAAGCCGCTAACTGAAAAGTACTGAGGTGAATGCTGTTTTCATTTAGTGAACTAAGTACGATCGTCACTAACTAACTAGCTAACTGATTTACAAACGTAGAGCCTATCAGAGAAATGCATTGATTCAAGTTGCCACACGGCAAAATAAAAATTAACGATAGAAATGCAATAAAACTACAATAGACGAAGATTGATTAAAGAGATTATTACTAGATAAATGTCGATGAGGATTATCAGAATCTCTTTGTCGATGCGCACAATCAGTTTTTGTCAGCCTACACTACTAAGTAGCATTGACTGTTCTGTTGAGAAAATTATTCCCTGAAAATAAATCTACTTTTCAATATTTAGAGGTTTATATGATTATAAATTGACTGTTCAAGATGGCCGCAATAAGCCTCTGTATGTTTTCTAGACTTGTACATTTATATTCATTCCGTTAGCTGTTAGTAAATTAACTCGTGCGCATAGCTTCACTTGAGTCAAAAGCACACATCGGTCCTCCAACTGTTGAGATTACAAAAGCCGTTCCCAATCTAAAATGTGGCAAAGTAGCAGGGTGTAGTAAGTGTTTAGGGATAGAGTTGGTGAATTATTGATTAGATTAACTAAGGTATTAGATAATTTGTGGGAATATGAGATAGCACCATTTGACCATTGCAATTCAATTGATCATCCCAGTTTATAGGAAATAAAACAAATCTTTCTGTGAGAATGACAGATGAATTAGCTTGGCCATCATAGTATCTAATATTCAAGGTTCCATTGTCAGTTGTCAAGTGAATTGGAGACAACTAATAGTGTCCGTCAGGGATTCCAGGGTAATCTCATATACCTAGAGCATCAGAATGATGTAGTTACGTTGGGTGATGGCACTGACTAAATCCAGTCTTCTGAACACTGAGAATGTATCAGATGTAAGATGGTGTTGCTGGACTGATCAGCACCGACCCATATTATAAGGAGAGATGAAATGGTTGAGCGTGTTAACTATTTCACCTTCAGCCATAACAGGATGATTGGTGGCAAAATCCCAGCATGGACATCAAATAATCGTAAGTCGTTTACCAACTTGTGTCATCGTCGGTTCAGGGGTGATATCCGGCTATCCATCAAAGTACGTGTGTACTATGCTGCGCTTCTCCCCTTCCTAAATTTCGGCTGGGAGAAATGACTGTTTAAGGTGATAGACGTGCATCATTATTTGCCTTCTATCTTATGTTAAGTGGTATAATATGATGAATAGCATTAACGTCAGGCGTAGAATTCTAGTTAAGGAGGGAAAGTCAGTTGACTAGTTTGTGAAGCTGTATTGATTGAGATGGCTACGTCATTTGTTATGCATGCCAAACTGTTGGCTTCCTCGACGACGAACACCGCTGGCTGATATATCATTAAGTTAAAAAAAGAGTCAAGGGTAACTAGACCAAAACTTGACATCAGTTCATGAAGTCCTTTGATTGTTGATTTTGAACCAATTATGGATATGTAAACTGTCAGGTTGAGGTCCTTAAAATGCTAAGATCCATTAGCTGGAGATTCATTGGCATGGTTCAAAATCCTTCTCAATGGTGAACATGTATTAGGGCTTTTGTGATCTGTCATACTGACATTAAATCCACATTATCCTGCATAAATTTTAGGCCCTTGTGCAACAAGCGGAATCTAGCCAACATACATATGAAAAGGTGGAAGACAAACATATGGTTCGCCCTGATGATGGTGTTCGAGAGTTAACACAAGACCCACATTTCAAAGCAGGCAGATCTAAAAGACTGTGGAATGAATTGTTTAAAGTAAGTATTTGCGAAAGTTTTTTGTTGTTGTTGTTGTGTTCTATCAGAAGAAATTTCACAAGTCTGTTATAAATCATATCATCATGTGTGTTTGCTCTTCTCATTGTGTTGAAAAAAAGGAGATTGCGTTTCATTTCTCTTTAATTGATAAATACAAAGTTCAAAATCATAATTGTATAGTATTCAATTTTTTTCAAACCATTGCTTTTATTCTGTTGTTACTAACGTTATCTCATAAAAAACATATGCTGCACTTTCACTGTCGAGCTCCTTTTTAGTTAATTTATTATGTCATTCCCCTATGCAGTTGACCGTAGTCATTACTGTTTTTATTTCATCATACTATGTTTCTGTTCTGTTCATTTAGGCACTGTATTTAGTCAACGATGTGTTCTGTATGGATTTATTCATATAAAAGAAAGATTCAGTTAACCACGTGTAATATTTAGGGTCAATATATACTACTGTACCCTTGACATAAATCACGGACAAATTTGGCTAAGTATCTGAAGTCCTCTTTGTTGATATATGCCGTGTCTCAGCCACCTAACTAGTAGACCCCAGACGGTGAGCGTCAAAAGTGCGTTTCATGCACACTTGTGTGTTGTGTTTCGTGGTAAACACTATGAGCAAAGCTAACTTAAAATCGACTAGATGTCTAATGAACAGTCTCCCGTATATTGTTCAACTAGAAGGTATAATTATTAAAAGAATTCCCTCACGATGTTCTTCACTATTTCTGCATACTCTCTGACAAATAGCTGTCTGAATATATCTAAAAATAAGTCCTGTCGTCGACCACGTGGTATGCAACAAGCATAGCAACTAAAGTTCAATTCCTGATTGCACGTCTCAAGCTCAAACCATAGTCTTTCAGATGAGCAGTAAACACAGTCCCCCCCTCAAACTTTTCACAAACCCGTTGCTTATTTGAGCCTATCACAACCTCTTGAAGTTCATTAAACCATCATCCCGGAGAATGATCAGTACAATTATTTGCGTAATTACGTTGAATGTGTATACAAAAAAAACTACATGAGCTTGAGGCCCTAGTTTCTGAGTGAATTTGAAACAGTGACTAAGTTTGGCTTCAATTAGAAGCTGTTCAGTGTTATCTGAACAAGTAACCTAATGTCATTGATATAGTCCATTAAGCGAGCATTATGCTAACAAGCTCTGAGTGGGAATCTTTGAAGTAAGTTGGAGTTGATCTACAATACCGACGTTTGTACCCTAAAACGTAACACTATTATTATTGTCCCCTCAGGTTTCGAGTGGAACATAGGGTTTGACAGCACATCACTTCGTCCTGTTTTCTGCAGTTCTGTTTAGCTGGCCTCGCGATTGCTCATGGCCTCTCATCTCCTCCTCACACGATTCCCTCCATTTCACCCTTGGACACCCAACTCGTCTTTTCTCATTCGGGTTCCAACACCATTCTACTTGATTTAACGGAGATTTATGAAATTAAAACTCATTCTAAACCCTCATAAGATATCCATCCCACACGAAATGCCTGTCCTTGTTTAAAATTCTCGAGATGTAGGACTGAGTGTTCCACATTTCATTATATCAATATTTAAGGGGGGGTATATTTAGTATATCTGGAAGAAACGTAGAGGTATTGTAGCTCCGTAGGGTGGGGGACACTCGTATTAAGTTAGTAGACGTCAGACGTAATTCATAATCGGAGATAATGGTTATTGTTAGGATCTTCTTTTTCCACTACAGAAAATAATACAATCCAGTAATATACTGACATCTTTTTGTGTATTTTCGAACATACTTTTATTTGTTTTTTTATTTTCAGTAGTCCTTGAGTTTGTTTTCACCAAATACTTAGTTGTCTCTGACTTGAATTTACATTTCCAAGTACTATACCTGTGCATCTCCACCTATAGCAATAATATTTACTTCGCGATATATGTGGCTCCCTACCACCAGACAACGTCATCGACGAGTAACTGCCCTATTACCTGACTTGGTGGCAGAAGTTGGGTTCATGACCCATTGGATCGGTTCCAGTAGCTGGATGGTTTATGAGCTCGCCTTGTTACCAGAAGGTCCTAGGTTTGAACACCTGTGACTTCACACTCATGAAGAGTCCCAAAATAGGACGAAACAACTGTCCAGTACTCCCTGGTCTTCCATTGCTTCTCTACCTGATGTTACCTCGTGATCAAGCCTATTACCAACCAAATCCCTGTATTTTCCCTTGGACGGTATCTGAAGATTAACATTGATTTTACTGGGTGGATAATGTCCAGCAGTGAAGGGGGCGCCGTGCAGGATGCGCTTTTCGTCAGCCGGATGTATCTGCATTCCCTCAGTGTAAATGACGGTGGTGTTTCCACTAAGACTTAAACCCGGCACACCCATCTCATTTGAAACTATGTAGTGACATTTTGAAATTTATTTTACTTCCAGTTTTATTATGCCTATTTCTGTTTAATTATTTTCATATTTATTTGCTACTTATTTATTGTCAGGTTTTAGACTCTTCAGATGTAGTATTGTATGTTTTGGACGCACGTGATCCAATGGGGACGCGATCATCTTATATAGAGAAATATTTAAAGACTGAAAAACCTCATAAACACTTTATTTTTATTATCAATAAGGTGGATTTAGTTCCTGTGTGGATAACAGTACGTCAAGTTTTTTTGTTTATTTATTATAATTTTTCGAGTAATATCTATTTGCTTTATTCATTACTAATTACTTCTCAACGGAATCGATAGTATACTGGTACTCGTGCAAGCTAATTTGCTATGTTAACGGGTATTCTTCAGTCCGTGTAGTTATGTAATCACTGTTGAGAAATTAACATTAGTTAATTATTTACATAATTTTATAGCTTATTTAACAACTTTACAAGCCCTGAAGCGTACGAATTTGGGTGTGTAGCAATATACTCACCGATGACATTAGTTAACTGTCGTGCTATGTATCGTTAATTAGCAGGAATTAGAATTGATGAACCATTGGGTTTCGTATCCGTGGCTCAAATCGTCAACCAGCTTGTCTAGTAACCTGAAGGTCCTGCATAAGGTCTTGGGTGTGTTCCGATGAAAACTCCGAAACTAGGATAAAACAGCTGTCCAGCAGTGTGCCCTGGTTTCCAATGGTTCTCAAAATGAAATCAGTCTTGATATATGGAGTTAGTTGAATAGGTCCATTTCTTTTTGAATTCGTTTGATAAACATTTCGCAGTCTGATTAGTTTTCATGTATCTTTTAACTCTGAATTATTTTAATGTGTGTGGCTGAATAAATTTTCAGTTCAACAGTAATTGACTATCTTGGTGAACATCGTTGTGGAAATTACTCCAAAGTTAGTATATACTACTGGTTGATATAGCAGTCACCCCTCTATCTCAACTTCATTGACTTTGAAAAGGCCTTCGATAGCGCAGCGTCAATCAAGAGGTGATTTGGAAACTACTTCGCTACTACGGGGTGCCGCCAACAATTGTACACCTCATTCAACAGTTGTACGACAATGCTCTATGCCAAGTAGTCCACAACGGGAAACTTACAGAATCCTTCGAAGAAGTGAAGACGGGAGTAAGACATGTCTTTTGCTGGCTGCCTACAATCTCCAATGATTTTCCTGATTTCGGTAGACTGGATAATGCGACAGACAGCAGCAGGCAACGAGGAGGCAAACATAAAATGGACCCACACAAAATACTTGGAGGATCTGAATTTTGCCGATGATATATGTGTTTGATTTCCCACAAACTGGAAGATATGCAAGTGAAAAGCAGCAACAAGTTGGCAGAAGAAGCATCAAAGATAGGACTTCAGGTGAACATATAAAAAACAGAGGTGATGAAGATTCCTGGGCAACACCACCAACAATAATTAGCATAAGTAGGAGGAACCTGAAAGAAACAACCTCCTTTACCCACCTATTTACCTACCTACCTGGGAATTATCGTTTCAACTACAGGCCGACGGAACTAATGAGGATATCAGAACGAGGATCGGAAAAGTAAGACAGGCTTTCATTACTCTCAAGTTTGTGTGGAGGTCAACAGCACTCAGCATCAAAAATTAGATCCGGATTTTCAACTCCATTGTGAAGTCAGTGTTACTACACGGACCAGAGATTTGGCGCGTTATAAGGAGCATCTCAAACAAACTACAGACCATCAACAGCTGCCTTCGCTCAATACTCAAGATCAGATGGCCAGCAACAGGGATCTCTGGGAGCAAACCAACCAGGAACCGATTGTGCAACAAATGGAGGTGGATTGGCCATACTCTGGGGAAACCATCAAGTGACATCACTAGACAAGCCTTCGCTCGAGTGGAACCCGAACGGGAAGCGGCGAGTTGGTCGTCAGTGCAAGGGTGACTTGGAGGAGGTCATGTGAAGACGAGATAAAAGCACGTGAGCAGACCTGGAGCCAGGTGAAAACTTAAGCAGAGAACCGAACGCAATGGAGGCGTGCAGCTGAAGCCCTATGTTCCTCTAGGAATTAAAGGAAATAATAATACTGATCGATATAAGTAGTTGGAAATAACTCGTGTCAAACGGTAGCACTTGCTAGGTAGATGCAAGTGAGGGGAAAAGGAGCAAATTACCATTTTCTTATTTATTCTTTCTCCTTTTTCCTTTATTACTTATTGATTCTCTTCACTCATCTTCTTGTCTACTTCTGTGTGCTATTTGGAACGTGGCAACTGGAACTGCTGCACTTCGGTGCGAAGTTCTATGTTGAATCCAGACAGACAGACAGATGCAAGTGATGCTGAACACGGGAAGGTCTGTTTTACTCATTAGTGCTGAGCTCATTAACGATGTAGTCGAAATGATTGAGCTCAGAAAACACCATTTAAAGTAAGCAGATCCGTGCTTTTGGTAAATTCTCACCAGGCTTTAGAATTACATAATAAAATGTCAGTTATAGGCATTTGAAACAATGTGGATCAACAGAATCAAAGAGAATGTAAGTAGAATGACAATAATAATAATAAATTCTGAAACTAAGAATAAAATATGCAACTGTAACATAGCATGCTATTGATAATGAAGTTAGCAGTACAAGTAAGAATAATATTAACAATTATCCGGTGTCACCGGTATGGATAACTAATCTAGGTTGGGATTGAAGCCTATGGAAGACAAAGAGGTTAAACAAACCTTTTTTTGGACACAAAGGTTAGGCTAAAAAATTTTTATGGCGATTGCCTCAGCTATGCTTATCAATCAGAGGCGTACAAACTTGAGGAATTCAGGCGGTGCCTTACATAGAATGGGAGAGGCGGAATTGTCATCAATCTTGTGATCCGTACCCACAAGATGTACCAATATGGAACTCCTGATTGACTTTACTACTCCATTACCTAATCACTTTGGATTATGTTCAAAGAGGTGATGGTGGGCTTACCGATTCGATCTACCTATGTAACTGTCTCCAGAAGAACAGTTAGATTTATAAATGCACGCTGTGGTAGCCAGACTCGGTAGCTTATCCTTCACCTGCATTTGAATTATACAACGAGTTATGGACTTTGAACATATTTTGCGGCGAAAATTTGTTTAACTATTATTATTAGGAGTTTCGGCGCCACTAATCCAGTGGCTGCATATCTTTTGAACGCTGAAGCCATACATGTACTTTTCTTCTGCACAGTTTGCGAGCATTTCTCTCTATCTGTATTCATCATAGAGACTTTAACAAATTTTTCTGGATATCCGTATTCAGGTAGGTAGTTGCCTGGACGCTATTTAGAAGTTGTAACCAGTGAGGTCCACCCCGTTAAGAGTGGGGATGAATACTCTCCGATGAAATTGGCTAGTGGTCGCGCTAGACTCACGAATTAGTGGAGGTTAGAATTTATGCGTTGGTCATTGGATTGGATCCCAGCGGCTGAATAGTTTATGAGGTCGCCTTACAACTGGAAGGGACTTGGTTCGAACCCCGGTGGTACGTTCTGATGCAAAGTCCCAAACCAGGATAAAACAACTTTCCAGTACTCCCAGGTTCTCCAATGGTTCTCTAACTGACGTCAGCTCATGATGAAATACTGTAACTAATCAAATCCCTGCAAACCAACACTTGAATACGTTTTCTATTTTCCTTATTTCATTGTCAATAATGTCGGTTGTGCAGATTTTTCTAGCACGAGACATCAGTGTACTGATGAGATTTCGTTTGTATTCAATAGGAACAAACAACTTAAAATGGGTGCATTGGCTAACCCATAGATTTCTTTGAAAAATATTCCACTTAATGCTCTCATCGTGCCTTCTTGTTAGCAGGGCATCAAGAAATGAGATAAAGTATTGTCTTTTCTTGTTTCCTATGTGAATTCAATTTGTGGGTGAGCCATTTTGAACATTTTGAGGACCTCGGTGTCTACTTAAGTTATACAATATACAGAGAAGAATAATGAGACGAAATCAACCCTTTCTTACAGTTCCTCACTGCTTCGATGATAAATCGTCTTACTTTCAGATGATTTTTGTACACTGCATAATCGTCCTGTAGTGTTGTAACGATAGAAGACAAGGGCCAGGCAACAGATCGTTCATTGAGAAAATCAACAGATATTTATAGATTTTTATGTACATTATTATTCGCGTTATTTTTAGCAGAGAAGCAATGTCTTCTGATTGGTTGTTTTCCAACTGAAGGTCATTCTGTCATCTCTTTGTTACCATTTCTTACACAGTCCGTTGATATATCTGCTAATCGTATCCACCCACACTAAGTCTGCTGTGATTGGTTATTGAGTTCCTCAAGATTAAGGTGTTTGCTAACTAACCGATTGGCTGCTCTCTCTTCCTCTCAGCCTGCTTAATAGCTTCAGAATTTGTTTGAAAAAACTTTTTCCCTTGTTGTCAAGTCGCTTATTAAATGCTTTGAATTCCTCCATTTTCTGATTACATAGAGAAAGACAATCTGTCAGTGGTCATTAACCATGTTTTGCAAATTTTTATCTTAAAATTATCGCTTTTACTCTCCCTCCCTCTCTCTCTCTCTCTGTTGTTTGTTTATTATCTTCTGTGTAGAAACGATGGAAGGCTATTTTATCAGAAGAATATCCAACTTTAATATTTCATGCTCATATGACAAAGCCGTTGGGTAAAATCGCTCTCATGGGTCTTTTACGGCAACTGGCCTCTCTTCACAGTAAAGAACGACCACAAATATCAGTCGGTATTATTGGTTATCCAAATGTTGGAAAGAGTAGTATTATTAATGCTCTTAGGTGAGTATTAGTAGTATGGTTACATCACATTTAATTTTCTTTTTTTTCAAACATTCATTTATATCTGTTGTCATTTAGAAAAATAATATGCCAGAACTTGACGTGTATTGGGCAGTGATTGAAGATCAAGTAGGAATCTGGGTCGTCGCAGATATCGAACTAGTGAACTCTAAATTATTAGTCCAGTACTCTGCCAAGTGAATGAGCAGCAGCTAAGAGACTCAATTGCTTACCATGTCATCCTCGCATTGCAGTCATCACCATGTTGTTTCATTGTTAGTGTGGGTGCTGGGATACTGCCCAGGCTCCAAGACCGAAGCAAGTATTTGTCTGAAGGGACTACTCCCCCTCTTGAGCCTTTGAGCCGATTCTGGCGCCAAACTGTCAAAGATCGGGTTTATAGTGCTTCGATGCGCGCAGTCTTGAACTAATGCCTGTGAAACCTGGCCCCTCTTAGTTGAGGATGTACGGCGGCCCTGTCTCCGTGGAATTGCTTGTGTTCAATGGCATCATCGTGCGACTAATTGTGAGGTCTGGCAGTGGGTTTTGAGAAAAGTGGGGGTCGCCGTTCACTGGTCATCGTCATCTGGAAACACCGGCGTCAGTGGCTTGAACACGTGCCACGCATGTCGTCCTAGAGGCTTCCGTATAGGTCTCTGTTCACTACCCGTGGGACTAGATGAAAGAGCAGAGAGAGATAGTCAGCGTATGGCGTGTGACTTCGTGGTATGAAGGATATTTGTGTTAGGTTAGCATCGGTTGGTACATCATGGCTCCTTAGTTGGGGTCCGATTGATAGTTCGAGTTGGTGACTTGAGACGTCATTAGATATGACTAAGGGTCTCAATCAATGCTGAATATGCCACAACTCCCATCTTTCTTGTCTTTCTGACAGTAATTCAACGAATGTTGTTTGATCTTGTTAATCATGGTTGCTCCCTTTCTGGATGAAATCCTTTATTAATTCTCTCCCTAAATTCGTTATACATTGCTTTATTATTGTTTGGCTATATTGCTCCACGTTGTTTTGAATAAATAAATAAATCACCAACTACGAGTAACATCCACTTGTCATTTGAATGAATGGTGTACTACCGTCCATCTGTCATCCCACTGAGCTGCCCAAGTGGGTCTTATGGTGGAACATTTATTGTCAGTGGATTTTCCATTAATTCAAATAAGAATGGGAATACCTGCTATGAAATTAACACGTTGATGATAGAAGAAGCAGACGGAAGTAAAAATAGAGAAGACAAAGGTGATGGAGATAGCTAACAACCACCAACGAGGAAAAATTTGAATGAAATCACTTTTTCAACTTACTCATCAGACAGCATTCTTTCATAACTGCAGGTGACATGGATATGTCGAAGTCAACCAGGATGGGAATAGCAAGATAGTCCTTCATTAATCTGAAATCACAGTGTGGGAATCCGCTGCACTCAGTTTAAAGAATATAATTCTGATTTTCACCATCAAGTCATCGTTCAGAGACTTGGCGCACTCATGAAGGAAAGCATTCCCAGCAGCTTGCTGCAGATTTTTGTCAACGACTATCTTCGCTCCATATGAAAGATCAGATGACTTCAGCTACTCACGGATTGACTTGTTACCGGGGGATAATCTCGTTGACTTAAAACATTCAGATGATATAGTCCTTCTAGGTGTGATGAAGACGCTGACAAAATGCAGTCTTCTGAACACCCTGAGCAGCAATCTGCGGGTGTTCGGCGTGTGGTTCGCTCCTGTCAAATGTATAATGATGCTACAGGACTGAACTACACTGACTCCTAGCTTAGAAATAAGTAGTGATTTGAGAAGTTGTGTCAGCCCCAACACGCCGATCACTGGTGAGGTCTCATTACGGATACATATGTCTCGTTTAGCATACGCCAATTTACCCCATCTCTGGCGTAGACGTTGATATCCAACTGGCGGTCGACCAAAGGGCGTGTGTACTTCTCAGCAGTTAGCTCTTTCCTACTTTGTGGCTGTGAGTGAGACATGACCATTGAAAATGGAAGACATGAAAATCCTGGCTATCTGTCCTTGATCACAGATGTCTGTGTTCTATATATCTCGTGTTTGCTGATACCATATTTTGATTAATATTGAAGTTAAGCGTCCAGTGTTAGAGGCAAGGAAGAAAAGGACAATCGATGAGATTATTATACCACTGACACGGGAAATGGGACTCACACATCTATCCATGATCAAAGACAGCTAGCCAGCATTTTCATGTCTTCCACTTTTAATGGCCATATGTTACAGCCATAAAGGAGGAAATAGCTAACCACTGAGCAGTACACACGCCCTTTGGTCAACAGCCGGATATCACGTCTACGCCAAAGACTGCGTAAACTGGCATATGCCAAACAAGACATATGCATCCGTGATGAGACCTCATCAGCGATCGGCGTGTTGGGGCTGAAACAACTTCCCAAATAAGTCAAGTGGTCAACACGCTCTACCGCTTCACTCACAATCTTTAGACTAGGAGTCAATGTAGTCCAGTCCTGTTGCATCATTATACATTTCACATGAGCGAATCACATGCTAAATATCCGCAGATTGCAACTCAAGGTGTTCAGAAAACTCTGCTGCATTTTGTCAACGTCTTCACTTAGTATGGAGGACTATATCATCTGCATATTTTAAGTCAACGAGATTATTCCCAGGTAATAAGTCATTCCGTGAGTCGCTGAAGTAAGTTAGGGTTAATTCCATTAGTACATGAGTGACGAAATTAAACAAAGGAATGGTGACAATGAGCATGTCTGACGGACACCTCTGATTGTCATCACTTCAGATGACAACTCTCGTAAGCTCTTACACGAACTGGTGTGAGTCCAAGTAGGCTGCACTGATTATTACAATGTACTTCCTCGGCACTCCCGTTACGGCCAAACACTGCCATAATACCTCTCGGTCGTTGGAGTTTAATACCGCCTTCAGGTCAAGAAATGTGGTAATTGTTGGACTCAGGTAAATACGCCTATGTTCCAGATGTTGTCGAAGGGTGAATATATGTTCAATAATCCCTCCACTTGGTCTATATGCTGCATTTATGACACATATTATAGCCTGTAAATATTCATCGTGATTAACTTTTAAAAGAAATATTTCTCTTTTTTTTCTGTAGGAATAAAAAGGTTTGCAATGTTGCTCCACTAGCCGGGGAAACAAAAGTATGGCAGTATGTTACTTTAATGAAGTCAATATTTTTAATCGATTGTCCTGGAGTTGTACATCCTGATGGGAATACTGAAGCAGAATTAGTTATGAAAGGAGTAGTAAGTTTGCATTCTTCTTACTTACTGAAAGTGATCGGTGAATATTTTCTTTTTTAAATATTATTTTAACGAAAGCTATTCAATAGATATTCCCACTCGCAACCCAAGGGAATAGTAGTAATCACAGTGCACCACTTTTGTAGTTAAAGCGAAGCGCTATGGCTCATTGGTTTCATTCGCTCTTCACTTTCAACTAAATAGGTCACGAGTTCGAACTCCTCTCCACCTATCGAAATGATTGTTATCATTATTTTTGCAGTTGTAGTATAATTATTAGTAAATTGATAATGTTTGGGAAATTAAACAATTGATTCGGCGAAGAGACTCTTTTCAACAAATTTATTATCAAACTATGCAATCTTACATAGATGATTTTAAAAGAAAAAGTAATAACTAGCTTTATTCTGAACAACAACGTTTATATAATGTACAGAATATTCAGCGGAGTTTATCACATGATACCTTCGCTTCGTCCAAGATCTTCAAATAAAAGACTAATTGATTGACAGTAGATCGCGCGTGACACAGTTCTGTCCGACCTGAAGAGCAAATAAATCTATTAGTAATATCTTCTCTTTTTCTCGTTCGAGAGATACACGATGACATTTTGTTGAATACCAATTACCTAAAGTTCAGGAGTACATTTTGTGAACCAAGGACACCACTCAGAAATGGTCATCTCATGTATTGGGATAAGCTGTCATTGAGGATAATGCCTTTTTCACATTTTTATTTTTTAGCAAAAACTTGCGAACCAGTAGGTCGGGAGTGTTTTAAATACTCACCAGAGTAAACAATTCTACTAGAGGTTATATTTTACTAAATTTAAACAAACGGAATATGAGAAGTAATCTATATATACAAAATGTTGATGGAGGTTTTTCGACAGCCTAAGCTTTAAGCTAGCCGCCTTGAAAAAAAATATTCATTTCTACAAAATATTTGTGATTCTAATCACAGTTAAACACCGAACGATAAACAATTGGTTATGTTCTTAATAAAATAAGTCATGGAATGTATAAATCATCTTAAAAAAGGGTTGTGGTGTAGACAACAATTTACGTCCAAAATCTTGGTCATGAGAAAAAGGAAGAACAAAGACTAGCCTTGAGGAACCCAGCAACCAATCACAGTAGACTTAGCGTGGGCAGATACGATTAGCCGATATATCAACGGACTGTGTAAGAAACGGCCACAAAGAGATGACAGAATAACCTTCAGCAGGAAAACAACCAACCAGAAGAGGTTGCTTCTCTGCTAAATCTATCAATATCTGTTGATTTTCTCAATGAACGATCTGTTGCCCGACCCTTGTCTTCTGTCATTACAGTGTGTTGAATTAATAAGATTAGTAGGCAACTAAAACATGACACAACAATGATAAGGAAATATTGTGAAGAATTAAATAAATAAAGGTGACAAGTGAGCTAATACGAGAAATTGTTCTCACAGTAAAAGTGATAATAACAATCGAAATAATAAGAGAAAGATATAAAAATCGAGTTAACGGAACGAAAAATAAATAAGGAATTATAATTGTCTACTATAGATGGATTAACATCATGAAGGGGAAAGTGGTGGGTGAGCATTTTTTTGTACACAACAGTTCTGACTTTTCTATTTGGATGACCAAAGCCTCAGGTATGCAAATGAGTCGGATACGTGATGATTTGGGCAAGTTGTTTTTCTTCTTGAAGATAATTTTAAAGGAAGCGGTTGTAGAAATAAGGTGATCAGTATCAACCAGATGTCTGACCATTGTGCTATCTTATAGCCCCACATCCACTTCTGCATAATCACACTGGATATTGCTCTAGCCCCCTCTCGGAGAAATTTGGCGTCGAACGACCGATTTACGTAGTTCTATAGGAGCAGGTAAACTGGTCACCTGCGGGATCTTGTTCTTCAGGTTATTAAACAGTGATAGTTTACTAGAAAACGGTATTCTCAGCGATTCTGCGGTAAATGCTCTTTTTAGGGATCGTGAGAACACCTCCTTAAGAATGTCATCTTTGAATTCAAGGTTCATATGCAGCATTTTCTTGGGTATAGACGTTAAATATCACTGCATAGGTTTTAAATGTATGTCTTTGTAGGTAAAACGAGGCTTAATAATAAATAAACTTGTTGAAAAGAGTCTCTTCGCTAAACACAAATTAAATTGATAAATAAGGTGATGCCATGTGTATGTTCAATTTACTAATTGAATTAAATCACCTAATGATCAGTAGTTTTATATTGTAATGAAAATGACTCTTATTTATTGATTAACGTTTTTCATAAAATAATGGGAAGGGCTTTCGCATGCCTAGTAAATGATTTTGGTACAGTTCTGTTCTCTGATAAATAAGCTTTGATCTCCTTTACTGAAATGGTATCCCACAAACTCAGAAATCTACAGGTGATAACCAAAAGGTTGGCAGATTGAAGCGGGAAATGTGGGACATCAAGTAAACATGGGGAAGACAGAGGTGATGACGGTGATCAAAATAAGCAACACCAAATACCATCAACGGAATGTGTTGAATAAAAGTCACTTTCTTGACTTATCTGGTCAGAATGTTTTCAACTACAGGCGACAGTACAGATGACGACATCACAACCAGAATCGAAAAGTCGAGACAGACTTCCATCACTCTGAAATCAGTTTGAAAATCCTCTGAGCTAACTATAAGGAACGAAATTCAGATTTTTTAATACCAACGTTAAGTCAGTCATATTCATGTAAAATGTGATGTGTAAAACTTGGGCACTGTGGTAGTAATTAATTCCATATTAGTTTGTTTATTAGATATATATCACACAGTGATGAAACAGTATTATTTACCGAATGACAATGTTTCGAACAAAATTTATTGTTCATAATCATATCATCAATTGCAATCACACAACTTCGAAACTTGAGTTTTATAGTTTTCTTTGTCTTCTCCTATGTGTCGTCGTAGGGGTGGTGGTAGAATTTTCCAGACATCTGCCTGGACAGGTGTTGAATCATTCCTATTAACATGTATTGGTTTGCAGTTGATTCGATAAACAAAGCTTCTGTTATCAATCTCTCCCTGCACCCTTGGACATTAGATTTTAAAACTCTAATCTCATCCTATCCCAGCCTATTGTATGGTTGTGTGTAATTGCATATAGTGAGTGGTATAGCTGCATTGTTCTCTAGATTTCTTATCTTATTTGAGTTGAATAATCTAGATTTTGTTAGGTTTTCATGTTCGGCTAGTCTGACTGTCCCTGTTCTACTAGTTTGGCCTGATAATCATTGAAGGGTATTAGATAAACTAAATTGTTTTGTTTCAAAGGCTCCACAGGTTTGATGCTCAACTGACGAAGCATGTTTCTAATTGAGTTTGTGGGTTTGAATGCCATTTTTATTAATCATAGTGATAATAATAATAATATTAATATTAATGAATACACCAGCAATAAGGAATATAAATCACCAGTAGTAATTTCATACAAGAAAGGAACCTCGGAAACCTTACACAGAATTCTTAACAAGGCAGGAATAAAAGTGGCTGGCATTCAATCACCCACAAACTCAATAAGATAACGTCTTACCATGATTGGTTGCAATGTCATGTGACAACAAGGTCATACATGTTTATTTAGTTAGTGGACAAACAAAAGCATATTGTCAGTTATAATGAAATATCGATCCATATACACATAGCAAAATATAGTAGACTGTCAAAAACAAAACACATCATGTGGATACATATCAATATATCTAATAAACAAACTAATATGGAATTACTTACTACCACAGTGCCCAACCTATTGCTCAACAAATATGCCGAATAAAATGAAGATGGATCGAACATATGCTGAGCAGATTGTTGGGTGTTCGCGCGTCAGACATATAACCCCTAGTGGAAAAGGCAGTTTAGACTTCTGTGGGTGACATCAAGGAGATCAGTGTCTGAGGGTAATTTTGGGGGCCAATTGAAGAGGATTGCTGAAAACAGGACAGAGTGGAGATACCCTGTTGAAACCTAAGGGGATAATAATATAATGATAATGTGTTCTCTGAGATAGGTAGTTTATCACTGCGTGACTTTCACTATGGGGTTAGCTTTTTGCATTCTCTACGTCTGTAATAATCATCTCTCCTGATGATGATGACCTCGAATGTGGTCATTATCTCCAGAGATTACTTTAACCTCTTACTTTGTTCACTTGTATTTGTGGTATTCACACTTTTTATTTATTTTTTTTTAAATCTATTTTTCTAATCTCTGCCTTACAGGTAAGGGTGGAATACTTACAACAGCCTGATCTGTATATTCGTGATGTGTTGCAACGTGTAAAACCAGAATTTTTACAAGCGAAATACAATCTCCCGCCGTTATTACCTAGTGATGTTGAAAAGTATCTGCAGAAAAAGAAATCAGATGAAGCAAAAGATACTTTTGACGACAACAAGAATAAAGATGATGCTTCATCCTTACCGCCAGTTGTATCATGGTCTGATTATCCTGAATTATTTTTAGAGACTTTAGCCCGACAAAGTGGTAAATTATTAAAGGTAATTAAATATTTTGGTTTTAGTGCTGTGCTATGTATCTGGTGTTTACTCTCTCGGTTGCGTAAGCACTATTGTTATTGGTGTCCTGACTGATTGACTGACTGACTGTTTCCAAGTCATAGGGATCAATAGGAACAAATCCAACCCATGTGTACTAAAAAAAGGTATATTCATTCGTCTTTGTTTACCTTGACCTACCACATGGTCATCAGGGATGTAATCATCCCATAATATTTCATGTCTTATGTATTACGCCATTCGTATTCCCTTTCGCCGAATTTACTTGTATAGATATTCTGTTAACTACAATCATATAAGACTGACAACATATATGCGCGTATCCTCGTTATACAATAGATAGTTTAGTCAAAATTTGACTGACGTGTTTACGCAATACTTTTGAAGATGTTCACAAAGGAATCGCACACACACTTATGTTTGTTCCTAAATAGTTGTGATTCAGTCTGAGACATTCTTCAGCTTACATTTAGGATGTTATGTGTATTGAATAGTAATGTAGGGGTAGAAGACAAGCGACTAGGTGACAGATTGTTTATCTCTATATAGCGAAATTATGTACACCTTATCTTCAAGTCACCATTTGCACAGATCTTCTGTGTTGTGCTACTTCTGGCCTTCGTACTGTGTTCCTTTGTCACCTTTTCATGTCTCCCGTGTATCTCTGCAACGTTGTATCATTTCCTTTCTCTGACATGAAATCTATCTCCCGGCTATTTGATGTTTTTAGTGCCGGCCGATGAGCGTCTCTTTAAATATACTACTGGTAAATCCTATCAGTAGCACATGCCACAATAATAATGACTACATTCTAAACAGTACTTTCAATACAATGTGAAAAATTTTCAGCATGTAATACAATATTACAAACTGTGAAACTAGAGAGACTCAATGATACAAGATTGTCTTAACTGTCTTAAGTAGAAAGTTAGATGAAATACCTTTCTAGAAATTAATATGATGTGCGAAGACCAGGAAAGATCAGAGGAAAGACATAATCCCATGTATTTAACATTCGACTTAGTTTCGATTTCAGTGATGGTAGAATTATGCGAGTGAACCTATTCGTACAAATTACGGTTGTTTCTCAAAGGGAAATTAACAATCTGATATTTGCAGGGATTTAGCTTAAGACCGGCTGACTAGTTTTCATTTAAAAATTTATTCGTTTTGGAACAATCTAATTGAAAAGTAACCGCCGTCAGGGAAACAGTCATATCATTATCTTTCTTAACAAAAATAACCTCACAAGAATGAGGGAAAGCATGTAAGATGAAAGAAAGCAGAAAAGTAAAAAGGACATCACTGTGAGGAACACTGGTCTGAATCATTAGAGTAGTGGAAGATTTTCCTTTATATACACCGCTTCCTATCAGAGAAATAAGAATACAGCCGTTTGTTTATCCAGTATGCACAAAAGTGGCCTATGTACAAGTCAAAGACAGATGTATAATTTAGGAAGGCACACTAAACATATTTGGTTCTCTGTCTGAATTAGAGACAATATTATGATGTAAGACAATGGTGGTATCTAAAGTACACCCACCATGGTTATATACAAATTGTTTTGGGTCATTTAAAGCCTTCAGTTTTAAGTAAAATCATTGCTTCGATTATTTCCACTAGCTGTGTTTATCTTGAAATCTGTTTATGTTAGGTGTCGAGTGCTAATAAATAAATTGACGAGGTTGTGAAGTTACATTTGTTGAGATTGTTAGGATATATGTTACGCATACCTAGCCATCGCCTTCCCCGACGCGTAATTATAGCTCACATAGGGTGGATCAGGTTGGAGAAGAGCTAGTGATGCTCAGACCAAAATATGGCTTCATCGGTCAACGAAATTTTCAACAGTTTAAGCTAGTCATGTAGGGACGTGTAGATTTCCTGACTGGTTGGGGTCCTTGGGATAGTAAAAAGCAATGACGGCTGTGGGGGTAATTGATGAGATGACTCAAAATCGTCGTTCACCAATTTCGTAGACGCATTCACTCTTTGAGATTTACAATATCCAATAAAATCTATTGTTCTTCCGTATTACTATTCTTTTCGCCTCATATTTCTGTTTATTGTCTCTCTCTCTCTCCTTTGAATCTCTCATTACTCTCTTCTCTTGCTTTGTGTGGTACATGGGGTGTGACAACTCAAACCAGTGCAGATCTGTGCGAAGTCCTACGTTGAAACCGATCAGTCAGTCAGTCATTTTTGTATCTTAACTTCCTACTGCATTATTGCCACCCTAAAATCTGTTATCATTGATAAAAATAGTAAGACGTTTAGATGAACTGCTATTGCAATTCACGTTAATCTATGAATCTTCTCATTACTTCTCCATTCATCCTATAAGCACTACTGTGTTTCGGCAAAGAAACAAAGAGTTTTCTGCATCCAATTCACGGGTATATCTCAAAAGTTTGTTGACTGCCCAAAGTTATATATATATTATATATCTGTGAAGTAAGTTTTCACCTCTTGTGTGTTATCGCTTGACATTCATTCATTCATTCATCAGATAAAAGCTGAGACTGCATTCGAATCTCAAATATTCTATGATACAAATCTAGTTCTCTCTGGTGAAGTTTTTAGCCTTTTGAATACATACATATTTCGACGATAAAAAGTTAAGACAGACTAAACAAGAAGTAATTCAAGCTGTCTGTGAAAGCAGTAGAACACATGTAAAGAAAATACGTTAATATGTATTCAGACAAAGCGGGAACAGAGTTGATTTTCGTAAGAAAATCAGCACTACTGGTGTAACGTCAGAAGACAAGAGTCAAGCAACAGATCGTTTATTGAGAAAATCAACAGATATTTATAGCTTACAGGATTTCATCATGAGCTGGCATAGTTAGAGAGCCACTGAAAATTCTAGGGTTACTGGACAGCTGTTTTGTCCTAGTTTGGGACTCTTCAGCAGTATGCATCCACCGGGGTTCGAACTTAGGACCTTCCGTTTACAACCTGAGCTCATGATGAAATCCTGTAACCAATCAGTCAAATCCATACAAACCAACACTTGAGATATTTATAGATTTTTATGTTCATTATTATTCGTTATTGTTAGCAGAGAAGCAACTTGTTCTGATTGGTTGTTTTCCTGTTGAAGGTTATTCTGTCATCTCCGTTGATATATCTGCTTATCATATCCGCCCACGCCAAGTCTGCTGAGTTGTTGAGTTAGTGTTTGTTCTTGTTTTTGCTTATGACCAATTTTGGCTTGCAGACAGCTCTCATCACACTGATAAACGAATTTTATTTGTCGTCTTTCAAAGTTGCATTATTATTGTTGTAATGATGATCACTGTGCAATTTTTTCTAATTTTATACACATTATTTCTTTATGTTCACACACACACACACCCACAACAAGGCTGGTGAACCGGATTTGACAACTACAGCCAAACGAGTATTGAATGATTTTCAACGTGGTAAACTGCCTTACTTTGTTAAGCCACCGATGGAGCGTGAAGAGCCTGAAGAAATCAGTCCTATAGAAGAATATTCGGAAGAAATTGTTAAGGTAATTGTTGCAGTTTTTTTGTTTATTTTAAAAGTGGTTTTCTTTTTTTTAACGTCACGTTCTATACTATTCTGTTTTAATGAGTGCACGTACGCACTAAAATGTAGCTGTAGAATTTAGCGCAATAGCTTGTAATATAGGCAGGTTACTAGTCTTCTATTTCCAGAGATAGGTTGTTCTATATGTGAAGCATAGGACTTCATTAGCACATCGCCATTCCATCCTGCTGTCCGCTGTCCTCTTTAGCTGACTCCACAATCTCCCGTAAGTTTTCATCCTCTGCTCACATGACCCCCCCCCTCCATGTCAATCTCGGACGTACCACTCGTCGTTTCCCATTCGTGTTCCACTTGGGCTTATGGTCTGGTATATTTGTTGAGCAATAATTCGTCCTCAGATTTTCTTGTTGCTAATTCTTTCTGACTGGCCGTCTCACATTCAGTATAGAGCTGGCGAAGGCAGTTGTTGATAAAAGTCTGCTTTAGCCTGTTTAGAAATGCTTTCCATGACGCACCAAGTTCCTGACCCACATATAGAAGGACTAATTTGACATTGGTATTGAAAATCCAAATTTTGTTCTTTATGCTGGCTGAGTGTAGAAGATTTTCAAAGTGATGAAGGTGTCCGTCTTGCCTTTCCGAGTCTGGTATTTGACATCCTTATCTGGGCTGTTTGCCAGTATTTGATACTATTCTGATTCTGTGCGCCGGGGGCACAGTGGTTAGGACTCTCGCCGCCCATGCACATGGTCCAGGGTTGGGGCCCCCCCCGCGGCCCACCTGTTATTTTTTTTGGCCCGCCGAAATTTGGGCTCCCAAAATCCTTCTGGAAAATTCCTAATTTTTACAAAAAAAACAAGGTGGAATAAACCGGTATTAAAAATAATAAAAAAATAAATAAAAAATAGATAGTGATTGGTGCTTGCTGTTGATTGGTTGACTGGTTATTTTCATCACGTGCGTTTACTCTATGTTCACCTGAAGTGTTGCCTTCTCTGACAACTTGTGGATTTTCACCTGTAAGTCTTCGGGTTTGTGTGACATTAGAGATAAGTCCTCCCCGTGGTCCAGATCTTCTAGGGTGTTCTTCTTCTTATTGGTTCAACGTATTCTTGTCTTCTTACTCCCTACAGTCTATTGCATAATCGAGTCCATCACAATTAAGACTATCTTCGGTGATAATTGGCAGTCTTGTCCAACTCCTGTTTTCTCTTCAAAGGCTTCTCTGACTTTTCTATCGTGGATCACCTGGCATGTGGCATTGTCATATGGCTGTTGGATGAGGTGTGCGTCACTCCATAGTGTTTTAAAACAGTCTCCAAATTACTTCATGTTCTCTCCTGTCGAGGGCCTTTTCATATTGTAATCTAAATATTTTTCATTGCCCGATGGAAATTGTGTAATGTGCAAAGGATGAATTCGATGTTATGCCACTGCTCACTTGTAATAAGTAGTACGAGTTGATTACTTTGCTCTTTCCTTTTTCTGAAAACATATCTCAATTGCTGTATTAACATTCTATTTCGCCTACAGTAATTCTCGTACTGTGGCCAGAATGTATTTTCCGTACTTGTGGAACATAGGGTTTCAGATTTGAAGTTCCAGTAATCGTGGTAACTGTGGAGCAGTTTAATTGGCCCACAGCCACGCTCAACCTTCCGAACATCCAACACCTCCCTGAATGGGATATAGACACAGGTCCTCCATCCCTAACTGAGGTTACTAAAGCTGTCACCAATTTGAAACAAGGTAAAGCAGCGGGACCTGACGAAATGACTCCAGAGGTATTTAGGCACGGTAGAGACAGTTTACTGTCTGCATTAACTGGGGTTCTAGGCAGAGTCTGGGAATCAGAGGAGGTCCCATCGGGTTGGTGTAAGTCACTGATTATACCGATATACAAGAAGGGAGACAAGTCTTCCTGTGATAATCACAGAGGGATTAGCTTGACTAATATAGTATCTAAAGTCCTAGGCTCAATAATCATACGTAGACTAAGTGGGGCTCGGTAGGCACAAACACGAGAGAGCCAGGCAGGCTTTAGACCAGGAAGAGGGTGTATTGATCATATCTTCACCCTCCGACAGATTCTAGAACATAGGCATTCCTACTGGCGTCCAACAATCATTATATTTCTTGACCTAAAGGCGGCATTCGATTCTCTCGACCGAGAGGTTCTCTGACGATGCATGGCTGTAAAGAGAATCCCAAGAAAATACATTGCACTGATTAAGGCACTCTACTTGTACTCATGCAGCCGGCCAGGTGAGAGCTTACGGTTAGTTGTCATCTGAACTGGTGACAACTAGTGGTGTTCGTCAAGGATGCCCATTATTCCCATTTCTATTCAACTTCATCATAGATGCACTAATGGACTTAACCCTAGGTGACTTCAGCAACTCGGGGATTGACATGTTACAAGGGAATAATCTCATTGACTTGGAATATGCAGACGATATAGCCCTTCTAGGTGAGGATGCTGACAAAATGCAGAATCTTCTAAACACCTTGAGCTGCACTCTACGAATGTTTGGCATGCAATTCGCTCCCGCCAAATGTAAGATGATGTTACAGGACTGGACTACACTGACTCCTAGTTTAGAAATAGGGAATGAAGCGGTAGAGCATGCTGACCGCTTCACTTACTTGGGAAGTACCATCAGCCAGTGCCAACGGGTTGATCTCTGACGAAATCTCAGCACGAATACAGAAGGCTAGTTTCGAATATGCCAGTTTACGCCGTCTTTGGCGTAGACGTGATATCCGACTATCGACCAAAGGGCGGGTGTACTGCTCATCAGTCCGCTCCGTCCTCCTTTATGGCTGTGAGACCTGGCCATTGGAAGTAGAAGACGTGAAAAGATTAGCTGTCTTTGATGATAGGTGCCTGCGTTCTATCTTCCGTGTGAAGTGGTATAATAAAGTGAGCAATATTGAGGTTAGGTGTCGAGTTCTAGGTAAGCAGGGGAAATCAATCGACGAGGTTGTGAAGTTACATAGACTGAGATGGTTAGGATATGTGTTACGGATGCCTTGTCATCGCCTTCCTCGACGAGCAATGTTAGCGGATATAGAGTCAGGCTGGAAAAAAGCTAGCGGCGGTCAAACAAAAACTTGGCACCAGTCAATGAAATCCACAACAGTTGGTCTAAGCCACGTAGGAAGGTGTAGACTTCCAGGCTGGGGTCCTCGAGACAGTAAAAACCAATGGTTGGAAACAATTGGTGACATGGCTCAAAATCGTTCTCCAAGACTGGCGCAGATGCATCCACTCCTTGTGACTTATGATTTCCAATGAAGCTATATTGTTCTTCGTTATTACTATTCCTTTGTCTCACACCTCTGTTTACTGTCTCTATTATGCATTTCTTTTACTTTCTTCTCATGCTTTGTGCGCTCCATGGAGTGTGGCGACTTGAACTGGTGCACATCAGTGTAAAGTTCTATGTCGAAAACAGACGGAACCGTGGTATTGTGTTATTACTTGACGAGATTTAATCTAGCCTCATGCCAAACCTTCTGTCTTTTCTCGGCGAGCTGTCGTCGAGTAAAATAAGTGAATTGAGTGTAGCGCATCGACTAAGAATTGAACCCCAGTCGATATTGTACGTGGTTGAAGGAGAACATTCTACCATAGACGTACATTTACTTTCTCTTGACTCACGAGGTATTTTTTTACTTGTACATCTATGTATTCTTCATTTTGAAACAGTTCTTGTTCGTGCTTTATTGTCGCACTCTCTTGAAAGCTTTTATCACGGCAAACGTAAGTTTAGACATCCCTCGGTCTGTGACATTTACTATGTTACTCATCATAATATTGTGATATCTTAGGAAAATTCTGTTTGTCTAGATTTTAAGCACAATTCCAGCGTTCTGTTTGTACACTCGAAAAAGTTAAGTAGTCTTGTGGTGAGAGCAGGCTGCTAGCCAATTGGTAGACATTAATTTACGTCAATGTCTAGGTTACTAATATTGGCCGTGAGAAAATATGAACAAGGCTGATCCAACAACCAATCACAGCAGACTTAACGTGGGCGAATAAGATTCGCAAATATATGGCTTAACTTTCTGAGAAGCCGGAAACAACCAATAAGAAGACTGTGTTTGTCTGCTTGAATAAGTTATAATAATGTACATGAAATATATATTTAAATACGTAATGATTTCCGTAATAAAACGATCTGTTGCCAGCGTTTGTCTTCTGTCGTTTTCATTTGAAAAAGTTGTCAGTCGAAATCTAAAGTCACTAATCCTCGTGTAGTAATGTAACGGTAGAAGAAAAGAGACTTGGTAAAGGAATGTTTGTTTGAAATTTGGTATCGATATGTAGTGAAGTTGTGTACACCTTATCTTCCAATCACCATTTGCCCAGATCTCCCGTGTTGTGCTACTTCTGGTCTTCCTTTAATTTGTGTTTCTTTGTGTTCCTTTCACGTCTCCCATGTACCTCTGCAACGTTGTATGATTTGCTTTGTCCCTGTTTTTTGATGTTTTTATGCCGGCCGATGAGCGTCTCTTTAAATATACTACTGGGATATTTTATCAGTAGCACAAGCCACAATAAATCTTATTGATTGGCTTTCATGTTAAGCTATCCACATAATTCCTCTGAGTATTTATTGATTGCTAACTTCTGTTTTACAATCTCTTTCATAAAAGAAGACTCAGTTGTTACTGTCTGACAAATGGTTAACATTATGTGTTCAGATTTATACTTGGTCGTTACGAACTCTTACACTGTGTAACGACAGAAGACAAAAAAATATTTCGGTAACGGAATGGTTTATCAGGAACGTGACATCGTGGGATGAAGGTTATTTTTCTTTTGGGTTAGCATTGGTTGCTGTGTCACGACTTCCTGGTTGGAGTTCGAGAGATAGCTCGAAACGTTATCAGATATGGCCAGGAATCGTAATCAATAGGGAACGTGCTGCAATTTGCTTCTTTAAGTGTTGGTTTGTAGGGATTCGATTGATTGGTTACAGGATTTCATCATGAGCTGACATTGGTTAGAGAACCATTGGAAATCCAGCTGAGAGTACTGGACAGCCGTTTCGTCCTAGTTTGAGACTCTTCGTCAGTACGCTCCCGCCGGGGTTCGAACTCAGGACCTTCTAGTTACAAGGCGAGCTCGTTATGCCATTAAGCCACTGGAACCCGATCCAATGGCCCATGAGTTCTAACTTCTGCCAATTCACGATATAGCGCGACCACTAGAGAATGCCTTTGGCGAGTATTTGTCCTCACACCCGACATGCTGTACCCTACTGGTCACGAATTCCCGCTGGAACCCCAGGTAACTACCTACCTGAATAGGACAACGGCTTCTTCCTTCCCTTCCTGACGACAATTGACGAATACTGTTTGAATTTGTTAAGCATGGCTGTTTTCCTTCCAGATGCAGTTCTTTATCCGTCCTCTTCTTATAGTTTTAATGTATGTTTTATTATTATTATTTATTATTATTATTATTGTGATAAGGCGCACCATATTGTATCAAGTTTTTTGTGTTCGAAATAAAAGATAATGATTTTATGAGTGATTGTTTATGAATTGAATATCACTAACTTTTTTATTACTAAAATATTGTTTATCGATTAATAACACCACTGAGTGAGGACTGTTACGTATATGTAGACATCACCATTTTCAGCTAATTATTTAATCACTTAATATGGTTTCAGCTCAGTTTAAAATATACTTTATTTTCATTATATTTATTATTTAGGATTTGGCAGTTGATTTATTCGATGATGAGAAAGATAACGAAATGAATCAATCCACTAGTGATATGGCCTCTTCAGCTGATACTGGTTTTGTAGAAGAAAATGTATCTGAATCAGATGACAATGTAAGTTAACAGTACATGTTATTTTCAATTAATAATTTGTTGTTACAGTAGTTGTGTGAGTCTTGGTGGAAGTGTGGCGGACGAGATCTTTGTCCGCACAGCGGAAGCTAAGGTGGCATATACCAATTTGAGCCACCTTAGGCGCTGCCGTGACATCAGTCTGGCTGTGTTAAAGTTCGGGTTTTCAATGGGTTTGAGTGTCTCTCTATGTCTATGGAACCGTAGCCCTTCCGAACTGATGATGTGTGGCGACTCTGCGTGATTCGGTCATTGTAGAATTGCTTGTGTCTTATGGTATCGCCGCCTGAGTAATCCTGAGATCTGACAATGTGTGTTTAGACACGGTGGAGATCATCATTGATGAAGTGTCGTCATTTTGAAACACTGGCTTCCGTGCGGCTTTCTGTTCGCTAGCCCTGAGACTGGGTAAAAAATAAAGTGGGAGGTGGTCAGCCTATGATACGGTGCTGTCGGATGAAAGATATTTGTGTTAATTTAGCATCATTTTTCATTTTTTTTTGCCCTACTTTAGTTAAGTGATTTAATGTTTGTCAGAAAGCAGGACCTTTTAAGAAAAATTGTTACAATCTTACTTGTTGTGTCTTTCTTCCCCCTTTCTAACAACTTTGTTTTTTTCAATTCTAAGATAATGTGTTTTTTCTGATATTTAATTTATTTTTTTTCTGGTCACCTGATTTACTTTTAATTAGTTGGTATATTTGGTCTATATTAACGTGTTTGTTAATTGCATTATCGTTTGAGTACCAGGCTTTTAGGAATTCCCTGGTACTTTTGGTGTTTCCTCTGTCTAAGATTTCGACATTATCTCAGTTATCAAACTGATGTCCATAATTGTCTATATGCATTGATACTAAAGAATATATATCGTGTCTTTTCACGGCTGATTTGTGTTCTTGGATTCTAATTCAAAGGGGACGCCTACTTTGGCCAATGTAATGTTTATTACAGTTCATACAATTTATTTTGTAAATGGTATTAATTTTATCTACTTTTTCTGTTGGATCTTTTGGTTTGCATAATATCGAATTAAGCGATTTGACTGGCTTGTTTGCTATATCTATATCAAACGGTTTCAGTATTCTAGCTGTTATTTTAGGGATATTTCTCATGTATGGTAAGATGAATTTTCTTGTGGTCTTTGATGATGGTTCTTTGTCGGTGTTTGGATTCAATTTTAAAGACTTTTTGATGAAATTTTGTGGGCATCCATTCTTTTTGAAGACCGTTTGTAGGTATTTTTTTCTTCCATTCTTTTCAACTCTGGAGTGTTACAGTGTGTGTTTGAATTCTTTTAAACAATGTCTGCACACAGTTTCTTTTATGAGTAATTCGATTATTGCTGGTATATTCAAATGAACTGTCGTCAAGATTTGACAGAATAGTTCTAAAATATTTGGGCGCCGAGTGAGAAGTAGACATTTGTAAAAGATTATATTTGTAAAATCTCAGCGATATTGAAATGAGAGAGATGTTCCTTTTATATATAAACCTCTGTTATGTTAATTTCGATTAATTTCCCTGAAGAAGTTCGGACCAGATTGCCGAACGAAACGTTGGAATTACTCATTTCAATATCGCTGAGATTTTACAAATATAATTTTTTACATATTGTTGATATAGTTGAGTATTTGATCTGGTATATCTTATCAGTAGCGCTCGTCACATTACTAAACTGCTCACCGCAAATAACATCAGGATGAAGTTAACACAGTCGAGTTTTTAACCCTCTTCAAACACATTGTTTTCTTGAAGCATTTTTGGCGAAGTTCAAATTTCGACACCACTAACTACCAAACAGCAAATAATCCAATGAGGTTCACGAACGTAGTTCAATGTTGTATAGCGCTTGATTCATTCCAAATGCGTGTCCTTACAAGGTTACGGTTGCAATTCGAGGAGGACAGTGTTTTCCAGCATTGCCTGGATTTAGGGTTGCTCTGGGATTAGCGAACTTGTTCGTGTGGTGGTATCATGACTTTAAAAAGCTATAGCAGATCAACTGATGGATTTGTTCATCGTTGTGCTATGTTTCAAGCGTGCTAGCATTAGAGAGGGTAAGCTGATAATTTTAATATTTCGTAGGAACTTTCGCTAGGTCGCATCTCCCTAACCCAGATTTTATATATCTGCAACTACTGGGTGTTGAAACAGCCGATGTAGTGTGGAGACGAAGAATAGCCTCGTCTCAACAGTTCAGTGGTACCGGTATTGCAGAGACATTGCGTCGTGGAAGATGGAGAAAATCACTTCTTTGCTGGGTGGAGAAGACGTTATCGTGCATGTCGATGAAACTGTGCTAGTAAAAAAGAAATACAACCGTGGTCGCCAGCGAGCGAACAACATTTGGGTTTAGAGTTTATACGACAACTCCCTCCGAAAGGGATTCGTCGAACGGATAGCTAACAGGAAAGCAACTACTTTAATACCTAGTATAACGAGACTTGTTAAGCGGGGGTCAATTATACACACGGACGAGTGGAAGGGTTATAATTCGCTGTCATCTCTGGAGTATATTCATCACAGAGTGAACCATTCAAGTGATTTCGTGGATCCCGTTACGAGGACTCATACGAATTCCATTGAAGGGTTTTGGGGCTGCTTGAAAAACAGGATAAGGGCTATAAATGGATCTCAACAGAATCTTTTTTATAGTCATTTGGATGAATATATGTACAGGATGTGGTGTAACTTCTCCATTGACAGTCCCATGCTAAGCTGGGAGATGTTTCTCTCACATGTTCGAGAAAGATATCCCATGTAAACGTTTTATTCTCTTTTTTATGCCTTTTTCAATAAATATACATTTCCATTCATCATATATGCCTCTTTAATGTGATTGGTCCATTCAATGTCGTTTGTTGATCGGTTGTTACTGGTGTCGAATGTTTAACTTTGCCACATTTTTTTCAGAACCACTTCCTCATATCATATTGATTGATTTTCTTTTAAGTTGTGGAACAAATTCGCTTTAGGGGGAAATCTGTGTCTGTCTCATTAATATATTTATGCTCACCTTTTTATTGTTTAACATTCTCATATTTCTCCCATTTAGTTGTTATTGCTGAACTGTTCGTGTTTGTTGTTGTTTTTGTTTTTTTCCTCTCACATCACCTCTTTCAGAGTGATACAGAGTTAGACTCAAGCAGAGTACCTGATTTTGATCTGAACGCTAACGCTGATCCTATTGACAATGGAGATACAGTCAAAGAAACTACTCCAGTAAAGGCCCCTCACGTTTTGACATCAAGACAGAGAAGAGCTATGGATAGAGCAATGCGACGTCAAAAAAATCGGGCAGGACGACAGTTCTACAAAGAGATTCGTGAACTGCGCCCAGGTAAAAGGTCTGATAATAAAGATGATGAAAATCTACGAAAACTGAATTTTAGATCTAAAGGAAATAATAAGAAACATAAATGAATTGAGTATTGATCATAACTACTTTATGAATAATAATAATAATATTGGCTGTAAATACTCTGTATAAAAGTAAACTTTATCTTGGATTTATGTCTTGTGATTTGTGTCGGTAAGGCTGCTGGAGTGTGAAATCCGTTTGCTGGCTGGCTTCTTGTGAATGTTCGTATTCACAGTCTATCTGTCTGTCTGTTTTCGACATAGAACTTTGCACCGATGTGTAGCAGTTCAAGTCGCCACTCTCCCTCCATGTAGCACACAAAGCATGAGAAGAAAGTAGAAGAAATGCATATTACAGACAGTAAACAGAGGTGTGGGACAAAGGAATAGTAATAACGAAAAACAATATAGTTTCATTGGAAATCATAAGTCACAAGGAGTGGATGCATCTGCGCCAATCATTAGGAATGACAATTTTGAGCCATATCACCAATTGTCTCCAACCATTGGTTTTCACCGTCCCGAGGACTCCACCCAGTCAGGAAGTCTAAACCTTCATACGTGGCTTACTCTAACTGTTGTAGATTTCATTGGCTGCTGAAATGTTTTGGTTTGACCGCCGCTAGTTCTTTTCCAGCCTGACCCTACGTCAGCTAGCATTACGTGCCGATTAGGGCGATCGATGGTTAGACATGCGTAACACATCCTAACCATCTCAATCGAAGTAACTTCACAGCCTCATCTATTGATTTCCCCTCTTTACCTAGCACTCGACGCCTAACCTCAATATTGCTCACCTTATTATACTACTTCACAGTGGCGCTGTTCGTCAAAGTACATGCAAATGTCGGTGACTTTTTGCTTTTTCACGGTTATAAATGGAAATGTTAGTAGGATTTAATTCATGTGAATAATCGTCATGCACATATTAATGAAAAACAAAACACACATAGTTCAGTGTGTTCAGGAGGCTCTTTTTGTCGAATTTATTCACTAAGCTTTACATGCCCTATTTATATACGATTTTTTTTCTTGACGAATGAAGGTAGTATAAAAAGTGGTGAGTTGTCAGTATTACTAGTCAATGCATAAGAAGAGTTGATTTAAGTGTATTATAGTTACGCAATAAGATGAATAATTTTAACGGATAAGTTGTAATCAGGATATGCATATAGAAACGAAGAAAAATATGAAATTACGCAAGAGTTTTGAGGAAGTTCAACAGTTAGTTATAAAGATTTGCGAAATAAACAAACAAAAATCCAGTTACCAGAAATTAACAAGGTTGTTACCATGATAGTAGAAGTGTTGGATGATTTTCTTTTGCATGCGAAGCTCTGGCCTCTCTATCTGAATGAAAAGAGCATCTTCCGCACTGCGAAGGGACGAAAGCGTATTGCCTTTGTTAGGTTATTCTTCACTTTGTACATTACTTCGAAGCAGGAGGCGATTATCGAGATGGAATGACTATGAGGTGTTCGATTATCACACTCCGTATAGTAGAGCCACTACTGTCTGCAGCCATGCACTGATCAAGGCACTCGAACTCATGCAGCCAGGTGAGAGCTTACGGTGAGTTGTCATCTAAACTGGTGACAACTAGTGGTGTCCGACAGAGATGATCACTATCCCCATTTCTATTCAATTTCACTATAGATGTACTAATGTACTTAGCCCTAACTCACTTCAGAGACTCAGGGATTGACTTCTTACCAGAGGATGAATAGTCTCGTTGACTCAGAACATGCAGATGATATAGTCCTTCCTAGTATGTGAATACTCTGACAAAATACAGTCTTCTAAACACCTTGAGTTGTAATCTGCGAATGTTTTTCGGTATGCTATTCGCTCCCGCCAAATGTAAGATGATGCTACAGGACTGAACTACATTGACTCCTAGCTTAGAAATAGGAAGTGAAGTGGAAGAGCTTGTTGACCAATTCACTTATTTGGAAAGCTGCATCAGCCCCAACGGGTTGATAGCCGACGCAATCTTAGCACGGACACAGAAAGCTAGTTTCGCATATGCCAGTTTACGCAGTTTCTGGCGTAGACGTGATATCCGGCTGGCTATCGACCAAAGGGCGTGTGTACTGCTCATCAGTCCGCTCCATCCTCCTTTATGGCTGTGAGACCTGGCCATTGTGGGTGTAAGACACGAAAATGCTAGCTGTCTCTGATCTATCTCCCATGTAAAGTGGTGTAATGGGATGAGCAATATTGAGGTTAGGCGTCGAGTGCTAGGTAAGGAAGGGAAATCAATGGACGAGGCTGTGAAGTTACTTCGATTGAGATAGTTCGGACATGTGTTACACATGCCTGGCCATCAATCGCCTTCCTCGACGGACAATGTTAGCTGAAATAGGGTCAGGATGGAAAGAAGCTAGTGGTGATCAAACCAAAACATGTCATCAGTCAACGAAATCCTCACCAGTTAGTTTAAGCCATGTAGGAAGATGTAGACAGGTTTCCTGGTTGGGGTCCTCGGGACGGTTAACACCAATGCACACTGGAGACAATTGGTGATACGGCTCAAAATCGTTCTCAATGGCTGGTCCAGATGCATCCACTCCTTGTGAATTACAATATCCACTAAAACTATATTGTTTTTCGGTATTACTATTCTTTTTGCCTCATATCTCTGTTTACCGTCTCTAGTTTGCGTTTCTTTTTACTTTCTTCTCTTGCTTTGTGTGCTACATGGAGTGTGACGACTTGAACTGCTGCACATTGGTGCAAAGTTCTATGTTGAAACCAGACAGCAGCCATGCGGGATATTGTTCTTGAACTCTTTTAGACAGGATACGCGTCGAATGACCAATATACCCGACCCCATAACAACGGGTGAACTGATATAGGCACATTGAAGTGGTCAGATACGAGACGTCCTTCAGACGAGTGGAAAGCTAGAAAGCACTACTCTTGGCGTTGCTGCATAGAATGTTTTCAAATATGATGAAATTCTTTCTTGAAGATATCGCAGAATAATCTCCTTTGAAATCCAGGTTTATATGGAGTGGATAGTGATGTTTCTTTTCTCTAAACTATCGGCTTTGATGCCCTTGTCAAGGAATCTCAGTGGGTACCATTTTTGGATGAAGATTTCTTTCAGAAGGTCACGGCTATGGATGCATCGAATGCGTGCGGCAATGGATATAATTAGATTTCGGTTAACAGGTACCGAACTCTATAAAGACGTTAGTTAACTATTCCAAGTTAGTTTTCCTATTGACTGACCTTCTTAAGTCTCCGTTGGGTTTTCTTGTTAGTTCCACATCAAGAAAGGGAATTTTGGATTCATTGTCCACTCCTAAGAGTGAATTTCATTGCTGGATGGGGCAGTTGTTAAACACCTGTAACAGGTAACCGAAGTCATAACTATTGTCGCATTGGATGAAAATGTCATCTACGTACCTTGTATACAGTTGTAAATTATCAGTGGTTGACTTTAACTTAGCCTTATTTCTCTTAATGCTGTATACGTAAGGTAAAGTGTATTTATTATTCAAGACTTCTAGACGCACTTCGTATTACGGGCAATATCTAATTACTTATAATAAATTAAAGTGTACAGTTTTGTTTAGTAGTGCTGAACGTTAATCATTTACAGAAGCGTGACGTAATATTATCTGCCGCTGGAGTAGTAGTATTCGATCTTTTAGTATAAAGCAAAACTAAATAAAGTTCAACACCACTGTTATTTGCTAGTTGTGTAAATTCGTTTAGAATATTGACAGTAGAAAATCAACATTCTGGTCAGTGTGAATAAGTTTAGATGTGAAAACTAATGATTTCACAGGCTATCTCTCTCTCTAAATTCTGTTGTGTGCTACACAAAACAAATAGGTGAACTTTCAGCCACAAGTCTTGTTGGAACAGTGTGTGATCAAATATGAATTTCCACTGAGTCATTAAATAGTAGCTGTTTTTCACTGCTTATTTGTTTGTTCGAGACTTCGGGCGCCGTGTGGTTCTAGCGCGATTGGGTTGCTGGCCTCCCACGTGACCTTTTCCCGCCTAAGTGAGGTTTAAAACTGCGTCGGCAAGATATGGAACTAGGCCTCCAGCGTGACTGGTAATTATTTTACTATCGAAACACCGACGCAGAGAACTCCAGAAGTTAGTGCCCAATGGTTTATGTCTTAAGCTTGCTTCAGTTTCTATACTTGGCCTCCATAAGCCTGACAAATGTCCGTTATTGTGACTTACTCGTAGGGCTTTAAGAATTCCGTTTATCTTTCCCATATACTTTCGTAATTATATTTGAGAAGAGAAATTCTCAAACCTTTGGAGCACAGATAACCAGATCTGCCCATTTGAAAAAAGCCACGAATAGTTGCATTCAGAATGGATGCCATTGAATTTAAGTATAATTGCACTGTTTAACGGCAGTGTTGAATTTTGGTACCTGGTAGAGTGTAATTCCACGCCAGACAAGTGTATCTGATGTAACACACAATGATACAGTATCGCAAACTGGATAACGTTTCGAGCACAATTTGTTAGTCATACCATGCATATGATTATGAGCAATAAATTGTGCTTTGAAAGCCGATCTATGACGACACCTAGCGTCACTACTGGTAAATGTACTCCCTGTCGCCTTTCCTTGGTGACTTATCATCGTTATGTGAAATGTTTCCTAGTAGATAATGACCGGAGTGCGCTTGCAGTTAACATCTCTGTATCCCTAACGATTTGCCTATTACCATATACACTTGAGATATCCTTAACTTCATCCTTGAATTTCATTGTTCCTGATATCATTACACGTATTTTCATAAGGATCACCTTACAGCATTATCAGTTGTTAATGGATACAGTTTAAGCACAATGTGATTAATCCTACTACAAAATGTTCTTCTGTTTTGTCATGTAAAACCTCTCCCTGAGTACACTATATCCTAACGCCAGAGCTATTATTCTAATGTTCTCCGGGTGGAGTTATTAGCTTCCCCTTCAAAGCTGCATGTTGGGAACTTGAGGTCATATGAAAATCCAATGACCCATATACTGTTTCACAATAGTGATGATATATGGTTTGACCGGACTATGTGGACTAGTGTGAATGTATTTTCTCACGATAACATAATTCGGTAGCATTCCGCAAGCCTCCATCAGAGTTCGAAG